GAGGGTTTGGTGGAGCTGTTCCAAAGGGCGGAGGTAGGAGAGAGGGAGAGGGCATGGAAAAAATGCGTGCAATAGAGCTACCGCTGGCCATGACAGGCACGGAGCTTGCAGAAGGTTTTTCCTGTGCACAAAACCGGTTTCTTCAAACCGTTAGCAGTGGCCTCTGTTGTTGCTAGCAGGCACTGACCCAGGGCCTTGGGGATAGTTTGGCGGGACCTTATGAAGCCTTCGTTGGGGTCCACACGGTGTTCGGAATCAACAACGTGCACACGAGAACAGCGCTGTTTATGCTTCGTGACCTCACCTTTTTTTTATCAGGTGCTCCCTTATTCTGCTGGATAGGCGTCAACTCGAGACCAATATAACCTGCTCCACAGGAGCAATTAAATTAGTAAATGCATATGGAAGCGGTCTTTAATGTTCCCATGAAAATTTGTCGAAAGCTTATGCATGCCCGCCCACTGCTCTGCTAAATTCTCTGATGGTTGTTTTTCAAACTTCAAAACAAGCCGTAATAAATAAATCAGAGACGGTTCTAAAAACAAATGAAGTGGAAATCTGATTATAATGCTTGTGGGATAAGTAAAGAGGATATATACGAAAAAAGTCTGCTAAATGTAGGTTTGATTATAGTCATCAAGCACTCATCTATATGTCAAACAGACCAAAACTTCAGGAGTGTATCGTTCCGTTAGCGAAAATTTGCATTCGTCCGTCCCCTCCAGCAGGTTTAAGTGGCCGTAAGTTATATCGCCCTGAACTCAGAGTTTAGAAGAATTTGTCATGAGTAAATCCAACTTTCTAACAAATATTCTTGTAAAACCCGTTTAGTACAGTCCCAATTGACTGCAGCCACTTAGTGTGTATTCATTTAAAGATGCCGTGGCGCAGTACCGCACAATTTGAACAAGCAATAATAAATTACTCAAAGACGGTTCTAAAAGCAAATGAAGTGGAACTTTAGTTAAAATTCTTGTGGGATAAGTGAAGAGGATATCTATGGGAGAAGTCAAAAAGTCACCAAATACTTTGCACTCAGCTATAGGTCGAACAGATCGGAACTTCGGAGGGTTAGTACAATTTTTTCTCTACCCACTTAATTCAATTAATTTCTAAATCTTGCTGTCCCTTAGATGGAGTGGTTTTGGCTACTGTCAGGACTCAAATTTATGGTCAATAGTAGAGAACACAGGAACAGTCAAATTTGTCCTTCGGGCAGTCATGCTTGTAGCTTACGGCCATCTAATAACTGCAATTAAAGCAAAATGCAGCTCAATTGAGCTTAATTTCCGGTGTAAAATTTACTTTCCTCCGAAAAATTGTGAAATTAGCAGAATTAAATTTGCACAGGGGGAAACATTCTTATTTTTCGATTCAGTTATCATTTTCCATAAACCTTTTCCGGCCAGTGTAGTGTGGCTTTTTGTTACCTAAAGGTGCATTCATCAGTTCTCTTCCAAGTTTTAAGTTAAATCGCCCTGAACCCAGAGTTTAGAAGAATTTGCCATTAGTAAATCCAGCTTTCCTACGAATATTCTACTAAAACCCGCTTTGCCCACTGCCGATTGAATGCTGCCACTTAGTGCGTACTTATTTGAAGATGACGTGGCGCAGTACCGCGGCCGCTCCCCGGAAACGAAGTGATTTTATTGGACAAAATAAGGCGTGGTCGGGCTGTTGAGCGTCAGTAGAAGGCGAGATGACTTCAGAAGACATCAGCTCCTGTTATGTAAGTCAAACGGTGGCAATAAAATATGCTATGCCAATTATCACCACAATCAACGCGAACGTGGATGAAAAAAAGCGTGCTGAAAGCGACATCAATTTCGTACCCGGAGTCGACATTGAAGATGTCGCTGTGCGGCAGGCATACCGCGTGTGAAAGCTGCCAGCCATGTACTGCCAGCCGCTGCGAATGAATGGCTGACAACGCGCTAATTTGAGAGTCAGAACACAAAGGTGCGACTGCGAGTTGAACGCATTTTCTTCTTTTCAGCCAAGAACTCATGATCGGCAAGGCAGATTTCACTTGTGCTAGTTAGTAAATCCTTTATAGCCACTTCGCGCTGCACAGAGTCTTTAGACGGGTGGCCGGGTGGACAAGGTTTCCTCACCATTCGTACAGTACTGATCAGATGTAGAATCGTACTGTGTATCGTTGTAGCACGCGACTGTCAATTGACCCTGCTGTCTAGAAGGCAACCACAGCTAGGACGCACAGTAAACTACTTCTTAGGCGCACACCTGTGGTAAGTTAGATTACAGAAAAAGACAAAAAAACACTATTTTCCATATTAATGTCATGTGAGATCATATCCCAATCATGTCCCAGTTCCTCTGCGGTTTGAGGAGAGGGTGATATGGTACCTTTCCGATAGCCTTGCTAGTTCTCACGCAAGTTCTGTGATACAATTTTGGAAATTTTGTCATTTCGGTACCATGTGGTCTTCAGGATAACTTTATTAACTAATACAATGTGACCACAACGGCAGCAATGCTGACAGAACAAGTTTCGGGCAAAGCTATTTTAAGTAGTGCACCTCATATATCCCAACCCCTAGCAATTTGTCGTCCGGGGCCTGTGATAATAGGGGTTTTGGAGGTGGGGAAATAGGATAGTCAGTGCGTAAAGTTTGTAAAAATAAGTGGAAAGTGGAAAATTTAGTTAGATTTGTTTCCCGCGGCTGCTGGAAGTAAGTTCTTCCGCATGTAGATTGAAGGTGTCCGGGGGGCTTTGCGTCGCGGATTATACTAATCTAACTCCAGAACGGTAAGTTGGATCTCAGGTAAGTTGAATTAGACGACCTCCTAACCACCATTCCTATCATTTCAGGAATTTCAAGAAACCGGTATTTTGTTAATCGGGTTTTTCCGCAATCCATTAAAAGATAATACAGAATAGAAAAATCTACAGATATAAATGAACAGCATTTCTACATTCAATAAAATAAAAAAAATGTATGTAGCGTTTATTAAAGTATATTTCACTGTCTATTCTAATTCCTCACCCACAAAACCCCTATCAACATCGTTTCCTTAGGACAGAATGCTGGGACAAGGGGTATATGAGGTGCACTACTTAAACTACTGTTGCCAAGTTTTGTAATCCTGTGCCCATTGAAAAATTCAAGATTTCAATAGTTTCTTAATGAAGAAATTTTTTAACGGAATTTTTTTATAACGGATTTCAAGAAGTAAACTTTTATTTTCACCACTTCCCTGCTAAAGCAGCAGCTCAATTATGTATAAGCATCTGAAAACAATCAGCTGAGATTTTTTTCTTCTTGAGATCAACAACATCAGCGCGCTTTCAAGGTTGAGCCGCCATTTCTCACCTTAGCGTCTCCTAGAGGACCCAGTTTTGCCCTAACGCAGGAGAGACTGGTTTCTTGACAAACGCAACCGCCGACGCCCTCTTTGCCAGTGCTTTCCTGAGGTCAGCAAAGTTCTCACACTAACTGTTACTACCAACACTAATGAAACGCATATTCCTGCTTGGAATTATGTCACATACTTAGCAGGTAATTTTTTGTAAGCGGACGGAATAGTTAATTAGATCCTTTAGTGCTGCCTTCTCAGTTTGAGCGCCTACCTTGTTTGGTGGGCATACGTCAGTTATGCCACGACAGCCACATCCGGAGGTGTCAAAATGTGTCCGATACCATCGTCAAAATAAGTCCTCTCAGTGGTTGAATTTTTAATTGGGAAACGCACCTTGCCGTAGTAAGTCTCACAATGTTTGTAAATCTTTTATACTGTTAACTGACATATAGGAAAACAGATAAAAACGGAAAGGTCAGAATTACTGTAACTTTGACCGGAGTCCAAGGCACGTGCTCATCGTCA